TTAGGATCAGCCATGCTGATGGTAGGCAGAAAAGGTTATTTGTGCTTATTTTTTCCTTTGCCCATACGTACACATATGGGCTCCCCACATTAAAATTTACCTTGTTTCACATCCTGCCTTAGTTGGGAGGTCAGTTAAATAAAATCGCTTACCGGCCTTCGGACAAGGATGAATAATTGGTATCTGTTCACCTCATTACCGCCTGGTTTTGGGGCAGCATTAAATTACGGTCGTTTGACAATGGCCGCAGAGATTAGGTAATTTTTGTCCTCTCGACCATAGCTTGCGTATGGTCACCTTACATTAAAACGTTTTTTTGTCACGCCATACTCTCATGGAGAGTTGGGTAAATGCAAAAGCTTGTTGACCTTTTGGCCGGTATTAATAAGTGGTACCTGTTCTCTTTAATAAATGGCAAAGACACCCGGCCTTAGGGATTCTAATCCTGCGCATTAAAGAGTGAACGTGACAGTCGTCGCTAAGAATGAGCCGTTTTTATCTTTGGTTATTATGTACTCGTATGGGCGCAGCAAATTTAGAACAACCTTCAGTCACATCCCGCCACCATAAAAAAGGTTTCTCGGATTTCGGACTGGGATCAATGTGTGCTATCTGTTCTTTTGAAACTATCGAGGAAACTACTCACAGAGATACAACGTCTACTGTGGCAATTTCCTCATTGTACCAAAGAGCGAGGTTTGGTGGATAAAAATACCAGCGAAACTGTGGTCACAGATCTTGGGCATTTTTTCGTTGATCCGTATGGTATGTTTTAGTCACTGTAATTTAGGTTGTCGTGCATTTTTCTTCGTTTTATATTGTCTTGTTCGATCATATCATTACAAAAATTAGTAAATACAATATTAGTCACTACCTTATAAGGAAACATTTGGCATTCATTGACCGTACAGTGCAACTATCGGTTGAAATTTATAAAATCCTTTTATTAAAACAATTATTCAGGGAAATAAGTTTCTCAGATCCAACAACTGTTATGGCTCTTTCCAGCATTGATGGGGGTTTCCTTCCTTATATGTTGCTTTTGGTAGCGTAGAACATCAGCATCTTGATTATGTCATTATTTTCCACTGGGCCATAGATAAAAGCGTTGGTTGAGTGATCCAAAATGCTACTTGATTCAAAGAACTTTGAATTCAATACCTGACCACAGCAGAGGGAACAAAAATTTGAACTGTTGAGTTACTAAAGGGAAGTAACTGAAACTGAGATATCAAAAAAAAAAAAAAATGATCGCATGGCACATGGAATTAGAACAATTTGCCGGAGTGTAAAACGTCCGAAACGTCGTGAATATGGCATAAAAAACGAGGACAGCAGTCTGAACGAGGTAAATTGTGTAAATGGTTACAATACCTCATCCCAGAAATAAAGATACATGCGCTGTTCATTTTAGTTGTTGTGATGTGATTTCTGTTATTTGGTACGGTTCTTTGTGATTCTGTAGCGTCAGTCACACAAGGTTCGAAGAAGGATGGTCCTCGCAAAGACCTACAGGTTTCATTTGATCGAAGTCATTTTTAAACAATTGTCTGAGAATGTGTCTGTATACAGCCGACAGTTTAGATATTTCTGAACGAGTTTAGTAACATGCATACATTTATATGAAAGTCTCGATATGAAGAGGTTATTTAAGAACATAACTCATATTTTGGTTTTGTAGAAATTTGCAGTGTTGGGTGAAAACATAGATTATCCTATGTTTAATTTAGAACTGTTTTATAATTGTCATAACGGCTCCATACACCGGGGGATTTGAAGTGATTAGTATTAGTATAAATTAGTATTTATTAATTGCACATTCTGTTTGCATTGTGGTGTAATGGATAGAGGCTTCGAATGAGAAATCGAAGAACCGAGTTCGAATTCTAATCGAGTTCATTATATTTAGGTTATCTATTTACTTGGGAAAGGTATTAATCTGCTCCTTCACCTCCAGCTGTGGATGAATATCAGGACACATTGGACTCTATAGTCTTGGTTGGCAACCAGACCAGGAGAAGGAAACTGAATTCAAACCCGTCTTCGGTTTTCTCAGGCTATCTTGCCGAATACACACCATTAGTGCTACGGCTGCAAAAAATGTAGTGGCCCTACCTTGAGAGGATAAAGGTAGGGCCACCACATTTTTTTCATTGGGTGGATTTTTTTATTAGAAAATTATGAAGTTCACTCTTTTTTTTGATAATTTTTTAAAACATTTTTCAGACATTGTAGTTCATGGAATCATATCGTAATCTTTTTTTAAGAAGTTAATCTATGACATGTTTAGTTTCTTTTTTAAATCTATTATTATTATTAGTTGCATTATTTCTATTCACTGAGTTTTCCCACGAGTAGTAACTGATGGCTAATGCTAGAATATCAAGTGACAGCAAGTCTCATGCATACTCCGCCATTCTTTTATCGTTGTTTTCACTAATGTTGTCGCCTGGATAATCTATAGGCTTAAGGCCGCATCACGTGGTAACACCGGTTCCCGTAGGATCACCGAAGTTCCAAAACGTCAAGCCTGGTTAGTACGTAGATCGGTGAGCGCTTGAGAATGCCAGGTGGTGCATTGAAAAATGTCACACAATTGTTAATCGTAGAGCCGTGTTTCAATTCCAGTGCGGTTCGTTATATTTACTTACACGCCAATATCATCGGGAAAAGTATGAATCCACCTCTTCTCCCGAAGCTATGGATTAAATAGTAAGATTTGTATCACTAAACCAATATTATCTAAAAAAAGTTACACTCTAAAAATATTTTTTAGCTTTAAATAGCTTGCAAGGGATTGATAAACCGTAGATTTGGCTGATTTTTTTAGCGCCATATCAACACCTCTATGGGTTATTTAATGCCGAATGTAAATATTTTGAACACAATTTATGGCTTCAAATAAATATATTTGAGCGCATTTGCATGCCTTCAACTATAGATAAAATGTATTGTTGGTCATTTTGCTATAAATATGTATTGTTGTTAATTTTACTAAAAATAGATACTTTTCGTAATTTTACTGTAAATAGGTATTGATGGCAATTTTGTTTTATATAAAAATGTATTGCTGGTATCTTTACTATAAAAATATATTTTTATACATTCACAGTGTTTTGTTTGGGGTTCATTATTTGCCCATAGCTGGGACCCTAACAGGTGCTACAACCCCAGTTCACTGTTTATTTGGGAAAAAACATCAATAAGTGGTTCCAGATAAGCCGTAGAAAACAAATTAATTAGTCAATATCTACTAGTGCAATTAAGTTATATTTCTCTAATTCAGATAGAGACTAACTGAATAACAACAGCAACTTGAATTTTCTATGCAGGTAGTATAAGTTTTGTGTTGTTGGTACTATACTTCAGTTAGTAATTGTAAGTATTCACATTTCTTTTAAAAATTTTCTACCCTTTTTTGTCATGATTTGTATTACATAAATGGATAAAGTAAATATGAGCAACCACAAGAATATTCCGTTTATTACAACTTTTCTAAAAGAACATTTAACTGGTCGCTTAAATCATTAGAAAATATTCATTTGTAATTTTTCACGTATTGATGACTTCAACATTTTCCTGATGTACGAATAAAAGTATGATTAAGAATTTCATGTATGTAACCGGTTGCCCGAGTGTACGCGCTCGGGTCCCCACATTAATCCGACCTTGTGTCACATCTCATTCTCGTGGGGGAAAGAGTAAACACCGCATGTATTTAACCGGTTCCCTGTCAGGGATCATTTATGAAATCTGATTTCAAACGTCAACTTTGCAAGAGACAATCTGATTTTTTGTTAAATGTTTCCTTTATGTGTTATATATTCAATAAATCATGTTCCCATAAAAAGTTTCTTTTTAGTTGCCACTACGATTTTTCATTCATTTCTTATCATCCGGTTCATACATCTCCCTGATTTTTTGAACATGAGTAAAGGGTTATCCCTTGTTTCCTGTTTCGGATTGGGTTCTCGGTTCCTTCAACTCCGCCTGAAATTTGAATTTTTATTCAGAAAAATTTTCCCTCTCCCAATAGTAGTAGCTAAGTTTGACTATCGCCCGGTTTACACTCCTCTCCAGGCGTTTGAACAGGACTAGTGGTTTATCCTTTGTTTCCTGTTTAGGATTGGGCTTCTGCTTCCTAAAATCTATTTCAATTCTATACTCCTAACGTTTCCAGCTGATCTTTGATATTTTATTCGCTAATTAAATATTTACCTCCTCAAATCTACAATTAGTTGTTTATCTTTCTTGTTATTTTGTCTTTTCTTACGCTAAGACAACACAGTAACTCTCTACTTTGAGTGGCCCTTGGGTCTTGTATTGGGTGAACATTAGTAAAAAAAAAAGACAACAGGTACTAATTATTTGCGTTAAAAACGACAAAACTCAAGGTAAATTGAGATCGACGTCATGAAAAAAAAACAAACCCCAAAACTGCCAAGTAATAGTTAGCACGTGATTGGCAGTAAACGTGTTAACTTCTAGTCAAAATTACAGTCGCCCCATTTACGCAAAATAGCAAAGTTCAAAGACGAAGAAAGACAATCTTTTTTTATGAGCATTTTAAAAAATGATTAAAACTTTGTAGATTTTTTCATTGTTTAGGGAAACATGGAATTTATGCCTAAGCAATAAATAAAAGAATGTGAATATATAATTTCGTGATGTTTAAATCATAAATATTTTTATAGCAAAATAATTATTATAAAACACTCAAAAAAGAGATAAAAAAAACTGTAAGAGATAGATTCACTTTCTCGGGCATATTATGCAGGTTATTAAAACAAGAAAATATTTTTAGATTGTAATAATTTTTTGGGATAGTAATGGTTTAGTGAGGCAAGTCTTAACACATAACTGGAGTGGAGGAGGAGGTGGATTCATTCCTATTCCAAGTGTATTTGCGCCTAAATGAATATAACAAACCCAACGGGAATTGGAACTCGGCTCTCTAACAATTTTGAGCTATTATCCATTATACAACCCAAAATCCAAACTTACAGCACATAATTTTCGCAAACGCTCAACCATCTAGGTACTGACCAGGATCAACGTTGCTTCACTTCTGTGATCATACGGGAACCATTGTTTCAACGTGATGTGGCCATATGCCTTACTGCTTATTATTTAACCTATTTAACTATTTATTAAAGACTTTCTATTACGATAATATAATATCGTAATATTTAAAATCATAACTGTTTTGATGTAAATAGGATTACAGTTTATATAATTGGATAAAATAAATGCATTTATTATAATTTTTTGATTTAAACACTTTCACACACACACACACACATATGATAAAATATAGTTCTAAGGTATGCTCTATTTATGGTTAAATAGATAGAGTGTATGTAAATAGAGTATATTTCAATATAGAAATGGGCAATGAGATCAGCACCCAAGCGTTGACAGTCTATTTCATTCTTCAACGCAATCTTCAAGTAATCAATTCTTTGAAGGCTGAAAACACTGTCGCCGCTTGACTCGACTCTCCGTCGAATTCGGCGTATGAGGGTCAAGCGGATCAGTTCTTAAGAACCGAGGCCAGACACCAGCACATAAGATTTGATTATAATGGTGAAGAACCATCCACATTTTTGAAGGGCCGAATATAGAGACTTGGTGCACTACGTGCCACAAACAACCCTCTGCAGGTTTTGAATTCAGAATTGTCCTCCTTCTAGACCAGTTGTCATCCAAGGCTATAGAATCCTGTTTGTCTTGCTATTTACCCATAGCTGTAGGGAGAATGTAATGGATTCGACTGAATTCGAACTCGGCTCTCCGATTCCTCAATACTAGCCGCAAACCATTACTCCACATTTATTTTATATATATATATATATATATATATATATATATATATATATATATATATATATATATATATATATATATATATATATATATATATATATATATATATATATATATATATATATATATATATATATATATATATATATATATAGTGTGATGGATAAATTGTCGTCTAAATTACGCAAAATTGAAACTAACATTGACATTTCATTGGAACAGATGTATGTACCAAATTACACAAAAATATCTTGAAATACTAGGAAGTAAATTTATTCAATAAAATCGCCATTGGCTTCAACCACGTCCTTTAGACGACTTCGGAATCTCCTGCAACTCTTCTGAACGGTTTCTTTATTTACGTTGATGAATGCTGCCATAATCATTTCCTTCACTTCATCATTGGTGTTACAAGGAATTTTGTTGGCCTGTCGTTCAGCTGTACACCACACATGATAATCAAGTGGCTGTATACTTGGGAGTTGGCTGGACAGATGTAAGGGGTGATATGGTCGCAGAAATTGTCTGACATCCATGACTGGATTCTCCTGCTTGTATGGCATGGTGCAGAATCCTGTTGCCAGACATATGATCTTCCACAGGGCAGCACAACCTAGTCAAGGTACTTGAAGTCTTCAGTTCTGTCTGAGGCCCTCACCAACATATTCGGTAATTATTTCCTTGTCAGAACAATCAGAGTGAATTTTCCGAGCTGCCGTACCTTTGTAATCACCATTAGACTCATCCAACTCTTTCTGAATCCTCTGTACTGTCCTCAGATTGACACCAAATCACTCTGAAATGCGCGATTTGGGGCTTCCGGTGAGAATGCTGTATCCAAATTTCTGGCGGAGTGAATTGCGTCATTGTGCTCTTTTCCTCTTAGACGGTGCCCAACTGATCTTAATATACTGTACAATCGACAAAATAAAAAAACAAACCACATACAAGCTCGAAATTAAAAAATATAAAAATGGTGACAATTTACTCATCGCACTATATATATATATATATATATATATATATATATATATATATATATATATATATATATAAAAAAACTTACGCTCACACAAACAACGGAGTACTGAAGTGTTATCAGCCCAATCTTCTTTTTCTTTTCGTATATACATATTATAATTATTTTCTTTTTAAAGTGTCGTATTGAATCCATAATTTATCAATGCAATATCTCATCTATTGAAGATCCAGACACAGTTAAATTCTACATTGGATGCACACGGAATGTATTCAAAAGAAGGTGAAGCCAACATCAAAGGTCCTTTAATAATAATAAATACCGAAATCAAACGTCCCTATCTAAATATTTATGGCACTTAAAAGTAACCAATAAAACACCAAAATTAAAATAGAAATTAATTTGTGCATACATGAAATATTATACAGTATTAAGTTTCTAAAAAATAAAAATTTACTAAAATGAAATAGCTATTTTTTGTAGGCACTGTCAAATATTTTCCTTAACTAATAATTAATTTTGAAAAAAATAAAATAATAAAGAATAGAGATGAAACATACATTTTTATATTTGATCTTTAATTAGTAATTAAATTCTAATATATTTATTTGTAATAATACCGCATATTCTATTAGTTATTAGAAGATCGAATGGTACTTTAAACCTATAAGAATAAAACTTAATTAATAAAATTTAAATATTATTAATATGTCTTGCACTTATTTAAATGACCCTTTGAGAAAATCTTTGTGCATAAAAATATGGATTTTTACGGATGAATAAAAATGCTAAAATTTGTTTTTATTATTGAAAACCCAGACGACTCACTAAATAACGGAAGTATACGTTTGTTAGCGAGCACTCCCACCCCACCTAAACTTAACCAGACTTTGTATATAACATATATAGGATACATAAGCTTAGGGAAATTAAAACCCAATTGCCCCTAAATTATAATAGATTTTCCTTAACCTTAACAACACATAATATCAATATTGTCTGCGTTTATAAATTAAGTCCATTTTTTTAAAAAAGTTTTTTCCTAACATCGTTTGACAATAGAACGAGACTATAGATTTTAAGTTTAATTTTTATAATTAAATTCATAAATTTAGTTTCAGTTTTGAAACATGGAAATTTTCTGTGTCACGATGGAATCATATTTTTAAAAAGAAAATTATTATAGTATTTTGCTCTACTGTTTGTATTGAGCACCGTTTTTTTTTTTAAATAGAAATAACTGCTCAGAACACCGGATTATAAATCTTATTGTTTTTTCTCATTATTTAATATATTTATAAGTATATACATATATAGTTACTTAAATATCTCCAGATATTATGTATCTGTAGAGAAGACAAAATAAATAAAAAGAAACAAGAGGAAAAACTATTTTTAGTCGACGCGTTCCGTCCTCTGATGGAATTTATCGCTTCCAATATATATATAAAGTATTTTGAGGATATATATATATTTTTTCCTGGTGTCTCTTTATATATATATATATATATATATATACTTACAGCCGACAGCCCATGTGCAAGCTGAATCGACTTTACATAACAGGCCAGGCTCTGTACAAAACAACTTAGTTTGCCATATTTGCAATAGGCGCTTTCTAGTTTCAAGAGCCATTGTCATTAACACAATAACTAAAAAACATTTATCAAACTTTTCAAAGATGATCATACACGTTTAACGAGTCGACATCATCATCTCTGTATGTAAACATATTTTACTTATCCTAAACCTTAGCTATATAATATTTATTATCGACGTAGTTTAACCGAATGTTCATAATTATTTGTAAAATGTAGTTTATAATGAGGTAATTCTATTTTATTTGATCATTGTTTATTAGCGTCTCTATCTGACCATAATCCTCACAATGATGTCATTTATTGAATCATTATCATCAACAGCATTTTCTATGGTATTCCGATGTGTATTTTGAACTTTATTGCTTTACTTGTCAGAGCTTTTTCTCCTATTTTCCTCTTCGTTTTCTACTTCCTGTACTTATTCTGATTCTTTGCTCTTTTTCATTTGTTTTCTTCTCACCGTTTTCTTTCTTCACTTTTTTTCTTTAATTTTCTTTTTATTGTCAGTCTCATAAAGCACAGCCTAGACTGGTAACGACATTTTCACACTTTTGTGAAAATAAAAAATATCAAATTTATGACGGAAAAATAAAATTAAATCAGCCTGAAAGGAAAAAAAAAACATTTTAAATATTTTATATTTCATTTGTTAATAAAATTTAATTATGTAGCGTGTATTGTCTAATGTTGAAACTCTACAACTCTTGTCACAGAAAATAAAAGAGAAATAAATAAAAAGTGAATGGAATAATAATAAAAGCAACAGCAGCAGCAGCAGCAGCAACAACAACAACAACAACAACAACAATAACAATAATAATAATAATAATAATTGTTATTAAAGACCAAACAAAAAAAAAAAAAATGCCTCCTTATTGATATAGCAATCCTTGCAGACTGCAATGTATTTTTGAAGGTTTTCAAAATGCTATCAAAATACAAGAACCTTGAAATGGAAATCACAAAAATGTGGCACATGGGAACATCAACAATCACTGTTTTAGTTGGAGCCCTCGGATGGGTTGTAAAAGATTCCAGTACACTAAATGAAGGGATTCCTGGAAGTCCATGCCTTAAAGAAATACAAAAAATTGTTCTCACGATTACAGCTCACACATTATGAAGGGCTTTATCTATGTAAAATATGTTTATGCTTTTTTCTTTTTTTTAATTGGTCAGTGGAAAATGTCATGATGCCATTTCTAAACTAAAGAAATGTGTACACACCAAAAATCAAAGGAAATAAAATAATAATAATAATGTGAAGAAGAATTAGAAGAAAAAATTTACAAGTAATAAATAAGGACTGCCAGTATGAGTGTTGCAGAGATAAAAAGAGATAAAATGTTAATGGAAAAGCGTTATGCTAGTGAGAAAAGAAAAAATGGATAGAAAAGAGGTGGCTAAACAAGAAATTAGAGAAAAAGGATAAAAAATTAGGAGATAAATTAAATGGTTAAAATTGTTCTAACAGAGGATGGAAAGTGTGATACTGAGATCTGAATATGCCAAAGATGCATTCTAAAATCTAAGCAGAGTATTAAGCGACAAAAAAAAAAAAATACTTCGTTAGAAACAAAGAAAAGAGTTCTGAACGGTTACGCGATATCTGTCCTCCTATATTGCAGTGAATGATAGACAATCTCCTCAAAGGTGAAGAACAGATTTGAAGCAGCAGAAATGTCGTTCTAAAGAAAGATGATGAG